TCACATATTTTTCTATGACCAAATATTAAACATATATAGTAATTTTACCTTTTTATAATCACAAATCATGTGAGTTTTAATGCTCTGAACCAGTGTCTACTAATCAAAATTCAAGATCTAGTGTATATGTAGTAATATTGTAATATGATTTTGCAACTTGCTGTTATACAAAACTAGAAATATAGATTTGTAAATATAATTCATAAAAGTATCATGATTTATTATATAGTATTAGTGAATTATTATTACAAAGGTCAATATCTGTGACTTAAAATAATTTCATCTTAAATTAATTACATCTTATAAATAAGTGATAATATATCTACTATGTCATAACCTAATTTACTACTCTAAAACAAAATAATCTATTGCATTTTTGCATGAGAAAAAGCAGCCAAGAAAATCACAGAGCTAAAATGTGGATCAGTTATATAGTCTTATCTATTAATGCTATTGCGGCAACAGAGCCTAATCACCAAACAAGGTTTTTGCGCTACCTATAGCAACTATAGTTAATATACTAAATACCTAAAATTATACCTGAGTTTTTTTTAATTTTCTGTATTGTGATCTATGAATTATACCCAGGCTTTTTTATAGAAAATATTATAGCAGGTGGTACTATAGTCAATGCTATATAATACTATAAATCAGTATTAGACTATTACGAGTCATCTTACTTAGTTCAATTAGTAAACTTATATGATATTGTCATGTGTTTACTAATCAAAAAGAACTGCATGTTGTAAAGGTTTTATCTATCTCTAATATCAATAAATAGTGCAATACACAACTTAACACTACTAAACTAATATTAAGCAAGACCTAAAATCTCTAATTGATAGGCTTCAATCGAGGCATGGTTAGATTTGGTCCAGGTTTAGAGACTTAGGGTCTTGCTGGTATACTTCTATGTCTTCAATAAGTATTTCTTTTACTTTGAATAGGTATTTTTTATACTTTTAGACTGGTTCAATACTAATATCTCTTCTTTCTTCTCTATATCTCAAGTGCACTGCTTATTTTCCAGTCACATATTCATGTGATTTATTTCAGCATTAGTGAATGCTGAAATACAACTATGTAGAATTGATCAAAATCAAATAACATATGTATTATTTAATAATGGTTTAATCACTAATGTAATCACTTTAAGTTTTTATATAAATAGGGGTCAATTACTAATATGATTTTTCTCTCTTTCTCTCTTAACGCAATACAGTAACAGGTCAACTGGATTACAGAAACAAGAAAATATAAAAATACGAATATTATAACCAGTATGTTTGAATGAAAAGGATTTGAAACACTACTTGGATACTTCTACTGTAGTAATTTTGAAGTTGTGATACTAAGAGTTTTTTTTATTTGAGATATGATTGTTAGTTTTTTTATACATTTTTTGTTATTATGTTTTTCTGCATATTATATATGACATATATCTCATATTCATTACTTTTTATCCTATGTATACTATTCGCGACTTATTTTATGAGCTATTTCTGCCACTTATGCCATATTGACTATAAGTGAGGTTATATCAGATATGGTCAATATAGTCGAAATGGCAGATTCAGCAGAAATGATCCAAGCTACCATGGTGTTGACCTGCACTTCTACAATGTATGTAATATCTAATTGAAGGCATTTTAGTGCAAATAGTGTTAGATATTAAAACTTTATTAAGTTGCTTTAAGGAGATATATAGCATATATCAGTGCAATTAATGTATAATTGAAATATGAGGTTTGTGCCTTGAAAATGACCTTACAGAACTATGTAAATTTTTAGCTATCTAGTAATCCAATTCAAATAACTTTTTTTTTTAATTTGTAGTGAGTTCTACAAAACAAAAAGAAAGTTTATTTGAATTGAATTACTGGATAGCTAGAAATTTTAATTTTAATTCATAAAATTTACATAGTACTGTAAGGTCATTTTAAGGCACAAACCCTATATGTAGTATGCATCTACACAATTGATGTATAATTGAAAAAGAAATATAGTATACATCAGTGCAATTGATGTATAATTGTCATTAGCCAGTAGTTTCTCACATACATAAAACGGACAGCTGTTAGCCAGAAGCTTTGTGGTTAAATTAGCAATGATAATCTTAGCTAGTAGTTTCTCACTTGCATAATGCAAATTAGCTGTCAATCTGAAGGATTTGCAAAAATAGCAGGATTCTACCGAAAGAGAGTAAGAAATTTGCTTTGCCTTTAGGAAGCTGCTATTAGATAAGGTTGAAGGCAAGGTGACTTAGGGCATACACTTTTTCAAAAAATTCATATATGTAAAAAATTGCTGTACAAAATTTTGGAGGATTGCCCAAAAAATTTTTTGAGACTCCAACCCTACCGTTAGGCTACCCTACTAATCTGTTTTATATGTTTGTTATTGTCATGTATGTTCTGACACATTTGGTTATATTAGTGATCATGCCACAAATCTTAAATTGGTAAGATATTAAATTTTACTTATCTTACTCCTTACATATATCAGATTTTCTTGTTGAAATCAAGATTACTCATGTGATTGTTGGCTGATTGATGCATTACTGCTTAGTTGTCTTTTCGATCTATTGACTTACTGTCAACCTGATGAACTTAGTAAGATGACCATTATAATCTTGTCATGGTCCAACACTGCTGTAAACAGGTACTGATGCATTTTTTTTAAGCTAGTGAAAGACAGGCAAGAGAGAAGAAATAAAAAAACCAGCCTTCCTATAACATGAGTGATAGCAAAAAAAAACTAATTTATGCTATGTTTGGTAAAGCAAAATTTCTTAAATATCTGCATAGGCAAGAACACAAATTTCCTTCCTTATATAACTAATTACAGGTACATAGCTATATAACTAATACCCCTTACCCATTCTCCAATAATCAAAGCCATCTAAATTTTAAAAATCATATATAATCATATTATAAATGAAAAATACCTGCATTTAATAAATTACTATATAAATACAAACCTATAAAAGGTAAAGGTGAACAACTGTACTGTGATCTATAAAGAGCCTCCACTTATTACATAAATATAGCCGCTTCAGAGTCAGTCATTTGCCAATTACAAGTTCTAAAGTAATTGTAATATAAACTTTATATAATTGGTTACTTTGGAGATTGCAATTGTCAAATGATAGATTGCTTTAGAACATATAATTGTTGAATAATTGCTCTAAAGAGGGCTATATTTATGTAATAAGTGGAATTTCCCTTAATCATCTGATTCACAATAATGATTGCTTGTTATTTTGTTGATAGGCTCTCACAAATCAAAAAAAGAAATAACTATAAGTAATATTAAAAACTTTATCATTAGTAATTTAATGCTTTATTTTTTCATAAATAACTATAGAGCTTTATTTATATTATAAGACAATTCAGACCATTTTTCAGAATATAAACTAGAAATTTTCAATCATGAATCACATATAAAAAGGATACTAATAAATCATATATTTTTTTTTTTAACACTTAAATCAATTGTCAAAAGTAGTTAAGATATAATTTGTATGTTTTAAAATTTAGATGTTATGTATGGCCATAAGCTTTATTTAAATTAACTATCAAAAAGAGTTAATACAATAATAAGAAATTTTCTTACCTGTTGCTATACTTTTATAGTAATATTAATTTAGAAGTTGTTATCAGTATGAATTATTAATATTAAGCTTTTTCTTATTATTCATATGATTATTAATGTGTTAAAGCTTTTAACTTTTTGTTAACTCAAATATGCACTAATAAAATAAGCTAAACCTGGTTAAACTAATAAAGTTACTACATTATTCTGCTATAAATATAGCTTGTTTGTAAAAAAAAAAAAAAAAAAAAAGAACAGAATTTCGAATATATCAAAATTTAAACAAGTTCGAACTGCTATTAATGATGAATTTAAGTGACAAATTTGTGAATTTGCAATTCAAAATCCTTAATATAATCATGTGCAAATTGCAGAATACTTTAATTAAAATTTTCAATTAAATATACATCATTTAACTATTTCTAAAATTATTAATAAAAAAGATAAATGGTTAGCAGTAGTTTCAGATGAAATAGCACAAAGTAAATTCTGTCACCATTTACCAAAATTTCCATCATTCAAAAAAGCCATGAGATTATGGGTAGAAAGCATGATTGTAGCAAAAATTCCAATTAGTGAAATGATAGTTAAAGAAAAGGCCAGGTTTTTTATGCAGGCTTTTAATATAAATAAATCTGATCTGAAATTATTAAATGGTTGGATTAAAAAATTCAAATGTTGTAATAATCTTCATGTTTATTGTTTATATGAAGAGGTCGAAAGTGCATCTTTAGAAACATTGCATAAAGAAAGACAAAAGTTACATAATCTTCTTAGCCAGTATACACTTGATCATATTTATAATGCAGATGAAACTGCATTATTTTATCATATGCCACCAAACCAAACTTTGTTAATGGCTCCTATACATAGTCAAAAAAAAGTATGTCTGTATAATATTATATTAAATTACACTAGTAGTATTCAACACCACATATATGTTTAATAGTTTTGTTGGTAAAATTTGAGATTAGAAACCTAAACTATAGTAAAGATATAGGTTTAAATTTTAGTAAAATAAGGCTTTTGAGAGTATTAAATATTTTTTACTTATTACATTTATTTAGCTAGTTTTTAAGATATAACAACTATGATGTCAAATACTACTGAAGTGATTTAGTAAAACTATAAATATATGTGTCTTAAACAAAAAATTTATTTAACTTATAAGATAAAGTAAGAATTATTATTTTACTTGGCATCAATGCTACAGGAACACATCATCTTAAACCATGGGTAATTGGTAAATCTTTACAATTACGGTGTTTTAAATATATTAACTTGAATTTTCTTCCTGTTGAATACTGTACCAATGAAAAGGCATGGATGCATAGTAATATATTTGAAGAATGGCTTTACTAATTAGATTATTATTTTCGAATTAAAGACCAAAAAATTCTTCTACTGCTTGATAATGCTGCCTCTCACTTTGATTCAAATGAAGAATATACTGATCAAGATAAAGCTGGTTCTGGTTCTGAAAATGAAGATGTTGAATTGAATAATAGTATTGGTTCATCCTCTAAGGCATCTAGCAAAAAACGTACATCAAATAATGAACAAAACAAGTGCAAAAAACAAAATTGGCAGAGTTTATATTCAAATCTAACTAATATTAAAATTGCATTTTTACTTCCCAATACAACAGCTCACCTGCAACCAATGGATGCAGGGATTATAAAGAGCTTTAAAAGCAAATATAAAGCTCTTTATTGTCATCATATTTTAATGCAATATGAGACTAATGAAGATATTAATAAGTAAGAACTTTTTAATTTCTATATTTTAAACTAATACACATAGTGTTCTGAATAGTTTGAACCTAGTTGGACTATTTAATTCTATTGCGATCAATTAAAAAATATAATAAGTAATTATAAAGGTAATTAAGTTTGGTTTAAAAAACATTTTTAATTATCATTAAAATATTATTATTACTATTTTACTAATATCAAATTTGGTTTAATAGTTAACTAATCCCGTTAATCTCATCAAATGTATGATTTATTAAGCAATAATTAGTTATCTTGTTTAACAGAGACATTGACCGAATTTGGTAAGAAAAAAGTTTTTCTGAGTTATATTCATGAAGCTGTAAAAAAAAGTTAATAATAAGCGATTCTATTTAAAAAAAAAACTTAATTAAACTTTATACTTATTTGCTATTAATTTAATGTTTATGAAATTAGTAAAAAAAAATAGATGGTAAGCAAGTGATTTTATTTTTTTTTTTAAAAAAAGATAGACCTTATACTTATCTGTTATTAGTTTAATATTCATGAATTCAGGTAATTTATTTATAGTTCTAATTGTTTGAAATAGAAATACATTATCAAAAGGAAATTAGAGCCAAATGAAATAAGCAAATATTTTAAATATAAATAATCTATAAAACTACCAATGAAATCAAAGTCAAAAAAAGCATTCACTATTATTAACAACTTGTCAAGATGGGTAATATTAGTAAAGCACAATCAAATATATTATATTCAAAAATCAGTCATGATAGGTTTTGTTAGTAATTTTGTTCTATTGCAATGGTAATAAACTAATAATGATAATTATCCAATTAAATTTATTATAGCTTGAATACGCTAAATACTAATTTTATACAAACATGTATCTTCAATAATGTTTTTGTAATAGACATTATCAATGTTGAACTGATATTGAAAAAGAAAAGCACAAAGCTTTTATTTATTATTAAAAATCTACTAGGAAAGATCATGTTAATAGAACATATAATCCTAGTATTTGTTATCAACATGAAAATGGAGTTGACAAGAACAAATATAAGCTAGTCATGTATTATCAAAAATCTGCTTACTGGTGAAATGTGTTGTCTTGGTGTTTATAATTAAATAGAATTTAAAAAGAATGAACATAAAGCATTTATATATTACCAAAAATCTGCTTACTAGTAAAATATGTAACCTTAGCATTTATTATCTAAATGAAACTGAGTAATTTTGTGGAAAATCTTAAAATGGTATTAATTTTTCTAATTTTTTAATTCATTTTATAAATATTAAATAAGTTAATACCATTTGTATTCGTAGGTTTTAGATTGCTATTTTAGTTAAATTAAAAACTATTCAGAGCACTACTGTCAAACCCCTCTAAAACTAATATGCATGGTAAACAGGTTTTATATCAGTATTGAGAGGTTGATTAGTTTTCTATCAAATTTGACAGGTTATTGATTTTGACCAGTATTGAAAGGTTTAACTATATTAATTTTTTTTTTTAAAAAAATAAATTAAATCTTAAACAGACTATTGGTTATGTTTTAGATGCATGGAGTGCAGTTGATGATAATGTAATTATCAATTGTTGGAAAAAAACAGGAATTCTTCCTGCTATTGAAGATGACGAAATTATCAATGCTACTAAATTTCAAGATGAAGCAAAAATTTACTTGAAAATAATGATCTTGATACTCTTCTAGATGGGTTTTCTAGAAAGGATGATTATTCCACTGCTCTTACTTCTGTGATAGTTAATTTTTTTAATGATGTTAACCAAACTATTGCAACAGAGGAAGCATTAACGGATCAGCAAATTATTACTCTCGTTCAAAATGAAGATAACATTATTGAAGATGATCAAGAAGACTCTGATAAAGAACCATCTGAAATATTTACACAAGAGGCATATAATGCCTTAAAAACTTGGTTATCTTTTTTTAAACAACAAGAATTTTCTAACTTTGATATAAAAAATATAAAAATATTAAACAAATATAGTAAAATTATAAGTAGAATATTATCAGATTTGAAAAAACAAAGTTCTATTATTGATTATTTTCAAAAAATTTAATATTTTTATGATATATTTTAAAT